TCTTACGGGAGAAAATATTCCTAAAAGGGGATTATAACCCTGCACACCCCTACAATTTTTTTTATAAGTTAGACATATAATTATGGAAGGCTAATAGATGACCCCAATAACAGAAGTAACTCTCAGCCAGGCGCACTGGCTCACGCATGTAATCAAAACACTTTGGGAGGCCAAGGCAGGTGGATTGCCTGAGCTCAAGAGTTTGAGACCAGTCTGGGAAACACGGCAAAATCCTGTTTCTACCAAAAAGTACAAAAAATTAGCCAGGCGTGATGGTGCATGCCTGTGGTCCCAGCTACTCAGGAGGCTGAGGTGGAGGGGGGAATCACTCCAGCCTGGTAGGCGGAAGTTGCAGTGACCACCTGAGATTGCACAGCTGCACAGATCCTCTCTCAAAAAACGAAAACAAACAAAAAAGTAACTATCCATTTAAGCTCAAAGATTATGGTATTAGGCCAGGCGCAGTGGCTCATGCCTGTAATCCCAACACTTTGGGAGGCCAAGGTGGACCTCATTTGAGGTCAGGAGTTGAGACCAGCCTGACCAAGATGGTGAAACCCCATCTCTGCTAAAAATATTAAAAAATCAGTCAGGCGTGGTGATACATGCCTGTAGCCCCAGCTACTCAGGAGACTGAGGCAGCACAATCGCTTGAACTCAGGAGGTGGAGGCTGCAGTGAGCCGAGATCACGCCACTGCACTCCAGCCCGAGCAACAGAGTGAGACTCTGTGTCAAAAAAAAAAAAAAAAGCAAAGATTATGGTATTAGATCAAAAGTTCCTACCAAGAAAGACATTCTTGCTGGAAGTTTCTGAAGATGAGGACTTAGTAATTATAGAGACTGACTCCTCCAAAGACAGAGTTAAATTTACAATGTGCTGGACCCTTGGGAAAGATATTTAAGAACAAGGCTTTTAATCATAAAAATGCACAAATAGGTATCTTAGCTGAGGAGATAATGAACATTAAATACGCACTCTAAACTACAAAGCAATAACAAATTATATCATTCTATTTATAAGATTTTCTCATAAAAATATATTTTAGTGAAATGTTCAGAACAAAGGGAGAAAAGATTTCTATTAAATTCAGTTATACCTTGATATGAATTACAAAGGTTACATTAAATTCGATATCATAGATATTTGTTAATAGTCTAAGTCCAAAGGACTGAGATTCTGAAGGAAATTTCTTAGTCATTAGCAGATGTCTAAATCATTGTAACAAGCTGTAATTAGCTGAGCAATATTTCAGCATTAGAGAAAAGAAAAATATTCAGTGCTTAATCCCTTACATACTTTCCTTTAAACTACAGGTTCACATTTTAAATCTGAATTTAAATACTATACTGTCTTTAGAAATCTTACGGGAGAAAATATTCCTAAAAGGGGATTATTTTCCCCTCTAGTACAAAGTTAAGTTGCTTTAACCTAAGAAAAATATGTTACAGATTATCTAACAATATGACTACTGGAAAACTGCTAGGCCAACTGTATTACCAGTGCCTTAGAAAAGGTCACTAATAAGTGAAAAAAGTACGCATTAGAAAAGACAATTATGATATGTAAACACAGAATTTTTAAAGTGCTGAGGGAAAAAGAAGAATGCACAATCATTTAAATACAGTAACAGAAATATACCTACATATATAAAAACTAATACTAGATAAACAGCATTTAAAGTGACATTTTTGTATTCTCACATAACAATCTTACACTGAGGTAATCACTCATAACAATATCTTGTAGGAAAGGACAGTTGGCAGAAAGTTTCAAAACAAAACCAAATAGTTGTCTGTATGCATGACAATGTTTTGGAAATTTCTGATAAAATCTACAGTAGCAATGTATATTACTCCTACTACTATATATTTATTAATTGCATACATTGTTTAAGTACTCTTAAGAAATATCAAAAAGATTAAGCTCCATTTTCAATATGCTTATAATTTATCAATCCAATTTTTAAAATAAAATATTGAGAGAGCTTAAAAAACACTGTGTCCATATATTACCCCTTTCCTCTTTGTACATCTTTTCCTTTTGACAATTAGAAAAAAAATTGTTTTAGGTTGGTCAAGTGGTTCATGCCTGTAATCCCAGCACTTTGGGAGGCCGAAACAGGCAGATGGCCTGAGGTGAGGAGTTCGAGACAGCCTGGCCAATATGGTGACGCCCCATCTCTACTAAAAATACAAAAAAATTGCCGGGCGTGGTGGCGGGTGCCTATAATCCCAGCTACTCAAGAGGCTGAGGCAGGAAAATTGCTTGAACCTGGGAGGCAGAGGTTGCAGTGAGCTGATATCACACCACTGCACTCCAGCCTGGGCAACATGAGTGAGACTGTCCCAAAAAAAAAAAAAAAAAAAGGCAACTTCCAAAGTTTTAACTTTCATATTACAGTGAGATGTGCATTATACTCATTGAATTATAAAAAGATAGGTGGCGGGCGCCTGTAGTCCCAGCTACTCGGGAGGCTGAGGCAGGAGAATGGCGTGAACCTGGGAGGCAGAGCTTGCAGTGAGCCGAGATCGGGCCACTGCACTCCAGCCTGGGCGACAGAGCGAGACTCCGTCTCAAAAAAAAAAAAAAGATATAACTAAACAGAAACAGGGCTGAGGCAGGAGGATCACCTGAGCTCAGCAGTATGAGACCAACCTGGGCAACATAGTGAGATCTCTTCTCTTAAAAAAAAAAAAAATCAAAAAATTAGTTGGGCATGGTGGCACACATCTGTAGTCCCAACTACTTTGGAGGCTGAGGTAGGAGGATCACTTGAGCCCAGGAGGTCAAGGCTGTAATGAGCTATGATCACAATACTGCACTCCACAGAGTGGGCAACACAGTGAGATGCTGTCTAAACACACACACAACACACACACACAAAGAGAGAGAGAGATAGAGAGCGGGCATTCTCAGATTTGTCTCCTCTTTCATTTCTTCTCTACTTCCTCCAAGTGATATAACTGTGCTAATATATAGAACCAGGCTTGAATCTCAACACTCCTGAACACAACTGCTAAGACGCTATCTTCTTCCCTAACGCATCTCCTCTGATATCCAGTCAGCCAAACTAGAAATATAGCAGTCATTCTTCACACAATGGTCTACTTCCTACTCACTCTTTAAGACTCAACTTAAGAGTCACTTATTCTGGAAGAAGCCATTCCTGGACCTATTTCCACCCCTGCCTGGAAGGAGTAATGCTCCTTTATTTTACCAAAGCACACAATTCAATGGAAATATTTGTCAGTCTCTGTCACTTATTCTGCAAGCTCCATGAGAAACCATGAATTATGAAATGTATTAAATCATGCAGTGAATTATAACAGTGTGTGCTTGACCAAGGAAGAAGATATTTGGACTTCTGAAGATACAATGCATATGCAGGTTATTAGGTAGAGGAGAGTTTTTAAAACTGTAGTCCATAAAACACTTATGTTGAGATTTGGTTAAAAGATGGAGAGATTCATGATCCTACATTATACCTATTTTAAAGATCCCTACTCTTTGTAAGGGTAAGACTTATAAGAATGACCATTT